AGGAACAATAGTTGGATGCCAATGCCAGGCAAAGATTTGGAAATAAGAAGATCACGTCACATTTAGATGTCTTGGTCAGAAAGAGGTCGGCTCTCATGCTTGTGTTAGTGACACCCGGATGAGAGGCTGTGGCTAGTGAGAAAGACACACGTTCTTCTTGATTCTATGGATTTTATACAATGTCCTTGTGTGTGGCCTGAACATGATGGGCAAGTCTTTTGGAGGAACATGTGGCTGGAAACGCCAACTTCCAAACTTGAAGGACATGCATTTCTCCGGGACTGGCAGCGCTGGTGACAGCTTGCGCGCTTTCTTCATGCTGCTCTCAGTGTTCCCAAGGCCGATGGTCAAAGACCCTTGCAGGGGCCATCCTTCCACAGCCAGTCCAAACTTATGGGGCCCCTAGTGGTAGTGTGAAAGATGCTTAGTTCGTTTCGTGCAGCATTGGATAAAAGGAGGGACTTAGTCTTGAGCACTAGAAATAGGGCACCCTCCAAAAGCTGCTTCGCAGCAGGTGTGAGTGAGTTGCAGGCCGGTCAATGCAATTGGTGCAACTGCAAAGATGTCATCTTCCAATCCTTCACACACCCCTTTCAAGAGTTGCAGTGGCCGCCAGTCAAGTAGTACAATTCCCAATGAGGGCATCCCGGTTGACGAGAGAATGCCGCCCTTGGTCAGCGAACGATTGCGGAGACACACTGAGTTCGGGGACACCCTGAGTTGTTACAAGCAAGAGCGGCAAGCCTTTCACGGGAATTACTGTTTATAAGTGTTGTTTCCACACTAGTGAACGGAGATTTTTTCACTCGTACACCTCTCGTTTGTCATGAAGGTAAGGTACCTTTGTGAGTGTGGTTTTCTTGCATGCTGCAATTCCAAAGCAGTCGCACCGTTTCTGACTCCATTGCTGCCACATCGCCCAACACAAAGGCAGTGCTGACTCAATTGTGGCGCCAGGCGCCAGCGGCAGCTTGTGAGACTAGCAACATCGGTCCGGTCGAAAGGAAGCCAGGATTTATGAGAAGTTCTGTGCTTCGACAAACTTTGGATGCTACACTGCTACACTCCGCAGGTGCAACAGCCATATTCCAAGAGAAGAGAGGTTAGTTGCGCTCGGAAGTGCTCACATGATGGCTGTATAATACTTTGCAGTTGCCCACGCAGGTATTGCTGCCTGTCATGGAAGAAGGGTGCCTCCAGGAGCATCCAGAAACTTGCCAGCTGCCGGGCTGTCTTTGCATGCCATGAACTTGGAGATCTTCCCCAATCATCCCTGCCACACACCTGATGATTCAGAAATAGTTTTGAGATGTGTTGAGGTGATGCTTCACATCCTGATCTCTGAGAAAAATGGGCACGCCAGCAGGTCATTTTGTTGAAAAACAGGTCCGAATTCAGGAAAAGTACTGTAATCGAATGAAGACCTCATGAGATGATTTGAGATGAAGATCGCAGAGCCAGTAGTTGCTGCACAGAACCTTTCTTCAACCAAGGGCAAGCACTGCTTCACATGAGCGAAAACGCAGCTCATCATGACTCATCCAACGGAGAAATTAAATGTTCACACAATCTCTCGCTTTCGATCCCTAAAGCTCCAGTTCAAGTACGAGTAGGTTTGAGTTCTACAGTTGCCTTCGGCCTCCCAGTCGACCATACCCTGATGTTGCGAACGTTATGGCGGGTGCTGTAAGTCCAGTTGATTGCTACCGCGGATGAAAGCAGACGCGGCGCCCACGGAGTCCTGCTACCGCGACTCGGCAAGTCACGCCGATGTGCCAAGCGATGCCCGAGCCAGACCGTCTTGAGACCAATGTTCGCGTGGAGGCTTCTCCTTTCGATGAGAGCCAAATCCCATGATGGAAGGTCTCAGCTGGACATGCTCTTACTTTTAATAGCAACAAGTTATTACAATATTTACCACCTGCATGTCATAGATTGAGAGGAGAAGCACAGGGGGAAGTAGTTCTCACGTTCTCACTCTGGCTTTCCTGGTTCCATCGACACATCACACACGTCCGCAGATGTGCGCCGATGCCGCGCCCGTGATTCACCGCATGAGCAGCTTCCGATCTCATTGTCCACTCGCATCCGGAATCGAAGCAGGACAGCACCCCGCTGCCGTTTGAGACGTACCAACTGTTCGCTGCCGGTTCGCCTTCGTTTGGTGCCGAAGCGGAAGCGGGTGCTGAGGCAGAGGTCGCCAGTGACCGTAAGGACCCGTCACGGGTACCGAACTAGGAGAGTCGAAGGTTCGGGTTCTTTCTCTCGCTCTGGTTGTTTTCATCCTAATCTACAGGGTGTCGATTTGCCTGAATCCTCTGGGAAACGTCTTTTTAGGCATGCTTTTGGCCACAGTTTGGATCAGAGACAATCGCCCAAAACGGCCACCGCTCACAGGTCGCAGAGAAATGTTGCTGGCCAGTGTTTAGAAGACACAGAAGGACGTGACCTTATCTTTGAATACTTACGCTCTCGACCGTCTCGATTAGTAGTTCCCAAAATCTGAAGCGCAAGAAAGTTGGCCAATGGCCATCCCGGCAACTACTATATCCGAACTAATTTGGTCAGAATGTCCTAAAGGACTACTGTCCTGCTTTTAACAGCATTCGCAAGTCATACAAGAAAGATACCTCAGCCAGCAGTGTGGCCGCTTTAACAACCCCATGCAATTGTTTGTTGGATATATTATGTTCTCAAGACGTAAATCAAGAGCTCTAATGAATCAATGAGCTCAGAATCCAGTTTACCTTTCATATCCCTTTGGGAGATCCTTTAACAGTACAAACATTCTGGAACTTCTTGCAAGTTGGCGGCCAACATGTTCTTGAGACCTTCACTCGGCACCAATTCCTTCGTTCCCGCTTCGTGGTCCGTCAGATCGCGAGCATCGCTAGCCCTTGCTAAATCGCGCGAAGCATGCGGTGAGGGGTGCTCAACTGTGCAGCCACAGTTCTCCGTTTTCGCAGGTCTTACCACACTCCCTGCCTTGATCGCCTGACTCTTTTGGGGGTCGGGCAGCATGCATGCGCTTGAAGGCTTCATCATGTCACAGGATGAACTGCTTTGCTTCCGTATGGACGAGGTGGATGAGGCACCATGAAGCAACCGGGCACGTCAAACGTCACGCGGACGGCGGACGTTGGGTGACGTTTGACATGCCCGGAGGGGCCTTAAATGGCCTTAAGGTAGGGCCATGTAGGGCCTTAGGTGTGAACTCGCTCCGAACTCCAACGCACCAGTAGCCAGCAGTTCCAAACCGAATACAGTGAGGTCATGATGCGGCTCTTGAATCTGAATGACGGCAATGTATAGTTGCAATCGAGCAGAGGCTGCAGAGCCATGTGTGTGAGGTGGGGTTCTGACCATTCCGAGCTGCACCATGTTACACAAGTCGAGGCATGTGGCTTTGAGGCATGTGGCTTTGGGATGCTTTTGGTTGAAGTAGACGAACTTGGGCTTACCGCGTGGTGTTGCTTTAAAAGATTGGTGGGTTTTGGTGTAAGGATGTTTACAAGGCGATTGTCGAGCTCTATTTCCGTCAGTCGGTCGGCAGGCAGAGTGAGCTTTTGAAGCCGTTGGGAGCGATTCCTGCAGTCGGTGTTGTTTTGGGGCTGCGACAGTCGCATCGCGCAAGTGGCCCCATCACCAGTTTTCGTGAAACCGCGAGCGGGTTTGATGTCATCAACATGGTTTGCATAGGCATGGATAGACCCAACAAAGTTTGGTACCACTCTTCCCATGTGCCCCAGATGATGTGTGACGCCAATTGACAGCATCATTCCAAGCCTCGGCCTGTGTTTGCATGCGCAGAGCGCCCCGTTAGTGAGCACACTGTTTGGATGCGCTTCGTGCCATGCGCTTCACCAAACGCTGCTTTTCACGCGGCTGCGGTTCTTCAGATCTGGGCCCGTTGGGACGTCGCATTTTCCACATTTGGGGCAGATCGGTGTACAGCTGCAGCAGACCGGCTGTCCTCATTCCTTGAATCAATCCACCACCGAAGGAGTCTGCCCTGTCGAGCTATCTAGTGACGAGCTCCGAACTCCCCGCAGCGCGGAGTGGGGAACCCAACAGCATTTGAGCGCAAGCTGGAATGTCTTTCTGTGGGTAGCTCGGCATTGACGAGGGATGTGCTGGGAGATGTGGTGGGGGTTGGACGATTTTTGGCTGGGAGATGTTGGGTTGGGGGATCGATCCACTGACTGAGCTGTCATGTTGAGGTATCCACATGGACTGGGCATATGGCATTGGCATGCTTTATACATAGACGCTTGTAGTGTTGATCCATGTTGATCCCTGGGTGGGGAGGTTCCGTTGGCTTTAATGATTCAAGCTACTCCTAGGTGCTTCAACCACCAAGCAGATCATCCTTCACAGCCCTCACACCCGCTTTTTGAGGTTTCGGCTACCCCTTCGCCATCCTGTGGGATGGATGAAAAAGGTGTCAGTCGCGTCGTGTGGAGCCGGTTCCAGGAAGGCCCTGCCAGTCTTGGAGGGTTTTGGGGGAGAGGTGAGGTTGGCGAGGCGTCTCAGACCACGCAAATCCACACAAATCGTGGGATATTCCCAGTTTGGTGGTTTTAGATGTAGTCGATTGGTGGTGGAGGAGCAGTCAGGGTTTGGCCACATCAAGCCGAAGTTACAAATCTTTGCAATCCCTCCCAAATAGGATCACGTTGGAGGTGGGGCACTTCCAAGAATGCCAGCTGAACCTCTTTCTAACCACCAATATAATGAAGCGCCTTAAACTGCTGAGATACCTGGTCTTGTGCTGGCATGAATGCAGATTTACCAGTCAACACCGCAAGTGTCCAAAGTGACTTTGCACCCTGAGACAGCGTGCACTTCATGCTAACACATTTCAAGCTAAATACTGAAGCACGACGGAAGTTTAAGCCTTAAGCAGACAAAGACGGAGAAACCTTTAATGGTGTGTTTGGTGAAGATGTTCCCAGATCACCACAAAGAAAGGAAGACAACAACTTCACCCCAAGTGGGACATGTCCGTCTCGGCCATCATATGCCATCCCGACGCGCGTGAGACGCGCACCCACGTCGCGGAGATGGCAGATCCATGGGGTATCAAAGAGGCGGACTTCGAGGTGCGGAAAGAAGAGCAGGAACTGCTGCTTGGAAGGAAGAGGCCAAGGCAAGCCAGGCAAGCCCCATGAATCATCCCTCCTTACTTCACTCCCTCCCCCCAAAAAGAGAGGCGAGGCTGAACACTCCAAGTTGAACCGGACGGACTTGATGAATCCACACTTCGTTCAGCCGGAAGATTCGGGTGTTTGGGGAATCACGTTGATGTGCTGCGATGTCCTGCCCATGCTGATGTGGCCTGCAATTGGTTGGAAGTTCCAGGAACGACCGTTCGCATCAAAACTAGTCGTCCTTTCTGCTGGCTTTTGTGGTCGACTCCAAGACTCCGAGTCGTTTGGAGTCTTGGAGTCCTAGTCGTTTCAAGCTGTGAGACTGTGAGTTGAAGACATGCGATATGACCAACCTCAAGGTCCCAAGGTTCAGAATCCTGGTGAATCTTTGGACACCTGAAGCACCTGAAGCACCTGAGACCATGCAGCTGAAGCTGCAGGTTCTGTCCCATGCACCGGGTCCGATCCGCGGATGGACGAGGGTGCATTGAAAATCCCAGGCTCAGGATTGAAGAGCTTAAGAGGTGGGCCATGGCTGGGCAGGGATGACACCCTTTGGGGCACGGATGGCGGAAGGGGAGGGCCATGGATGGGAATGATGGGTCCGAAACGCTGGGTCCAAGGGTCAAGCGAGCCTTCTTGGATTGAATAAACATGAATAAACCATGGAATTGGATGGCATGACCCCTGAGTTCAGATGATCATGGAATCCGAAGACCAAAGAGGTGGTGTGTTCTCCACGTCCATGCTATTCCGGGGAGTGTGTGCCTTATGCTACCGGTTGCATTGCCTACCTAGTCAGTGGATAACTATATAGGTAGAAAGTTTGGTTCACCCATGTTCACCTTTATTTTCGACAGAAATTGAGGGGGTCAGGCGGCCAGGTTACTAAGTCCCAGTACTTTTAGGAGAACTGCGGCAACATCCACTTTCTCGAACAATGCCATGAAGATAGCATACATTGCTAACATCAATCTACATTGACATCAATCTACATCATGTCTCAGACCTTCCCCAACTAAGAACAACACAGAATCTCCACTCCCAAAACGACCCGCCACCGGACCAAGACCCTGCACCCTCCGAGCGCAGGTGCCTGGCTTCTCACGAAGACCGCGGCGCCGACCTAGAACGACGCCTGGCGGTGCATGACGAGCTCCGGACCCACGCGCGGGGGGGAGCAGCAGCTCCGCGCGTGGGGGAGGAGCAGCGCCGGGCGGCGCAGGAAACGGAGGAGGACGTGGGGCGGGGGTGAAAGGGGTTGGCAAAATGAGGGGCCCTGGCCTTGCAAGTCCAGGTGTGGATGTCGTCGATGTCGTAATTAAACTATGTTAAACTATGTTAAACCTTTGAGACTTGTTTGATGGTCTGGGCAGTTGATCCAAAATGTGGCGCCTTGCAAACACAGTAGGACAGGCAGATGGGAGATGGTCGGTCATGAGTCATTCTCTTTTGATTGAATCACCCAAAACTTCCAAATTGGATCGGCGATTCTGCCAAATCCTCGGCTTTGGATCAGTTGTGACCTTGTTCTTGGCAGCCTTGTGACACCTGAGCAGCCTTATGACGGCCACTCCAGGAACGACGGCAACTCCTGCAGCGCCTAGAGGAGTTGGCAGAAAATGAGTGTGGCAACAAGTCCCTACAGGTCAAGGATCTCACTTTACTGGACCTGGCTGGTCATACGGAAACATTGCTTAACTGTCAAGGCCCAGGTTTCAGCATCACCTGACCAACAACATCACACTTGATTGTGAAGTTTCCGCTTCAGTTACATAGTTCGCACCTTAGTTGGATAACACAATTAGAGTTGTGTAGGCCCGTGTCACCGGCTCCTATACTTCATCCCTGGGTTTGACTGGACTGGTAGGGAGTGTTCTTTTATATAGGTTTGTTAGGCAGTCAGTGTGAGTGAATCACCACCTTTCTGCAAGAGAAATCCCAGTGGATCACAGACCCTACTTCCATGCACAGTCCCTTGCACAGTCCCATGCAAGCAGAGGTGCCTTGGCCCATCTTGGCCGAAAGAAGGTTAGCTTGTCTCAGAATAACATGCAACCAGGTCAAGTTCCCCCCAGGTCGACTTTGAGCATGATTTTTATGATTGTTCAGCCCATTCGGCAGGGGTCGTCCGAGTATGCATCAACAAAATTCGACAGCTACAGACAGAACTAGTTGCTCCAATCTCACAACTGCAGGAGCTTCAGCTAGCAGCAGTTGAGCGGGGCGTTTCCGCGCTGCCGAAGGATTACAGCTGGCCAGAGAGGCTTTTCAACTCCTCTTTGAGCTGCTTGATTCGAGGAGTAAGGGGCAGAATGGCCGTGGATCAAGTTGCTTGCATTCCCAAACATGAGCCTTCCCAGCGTTGGTGAAGAGTCAGCCGGAAGACTTAAGAACACACCGCACACAGAGTCACCATAAGGGGTTGAGCACACTTCCTTTTGGCAGTTCGATTCAGAAAGACGTCCAATGACGAAAAACTCCATGTCGTCGCGGCACTGCTGTTGAAGGTTGGAAAGAAAACTACAAATCACAAACCACCTGGCATAAGGCATATAAAGAAACACAAAAAAAACTTGTATTACGGTATATTTTATAGAATATGTAATATATAGATCTGTTTTTTTCTGCGTTTTTGTTTTGGGTCTAATATTTTTGCATTGTTGATCGAAAAACGCGTTTTCAGAGATGAGGACTCCAAAAAAGGTACCGAGTGAATCTTCATCCGGACGCGTCCGGTGCGGAGGCTTAAAGACGCGTTTTGGACGCCGAAAAAAGGTCTCAGGACACTGTCTAAGGACGATCTGACAGGGCACAAACAAAAAAGGAACATTTCGTGACATATGCAAAAAAGAGTGCTTTCTTTCAAAAACATTTTTTTCTTGGAAAGGCAAATTTAAAAGGGTCATTGGAGACTCAAGGTATATATATACCCCCTGGGAGTCAAAGACTATAAAAAGAATGGTCTTTAGGGGACCTGAAAGGGAACTTCCTTTACTTCAGCCGGTCAAAATATAGTCTTTGGACTTCTAGGGTACTAACAATATGCTGTATGCGTTTGGTTGTCTTAAACTAAGGGGGTCTTTGCCCACCATGCCTCGCCCATGCGTCCCAGTCCCTTCCTCGAGGCGATATCCCGGAGCATTCGCCCGACGCGGGCGACGCGGGCAACGCGGGCGACGCGGGCGACGCCGGACGGGCGGCGCGGACGGTGGCAGCCTTGCGGGTGAAGGTGCGACGCCAGGAACAGGACGGCGTGGTGTGACGCTTTTTCGGGGGGCCCAGATGGGAAACAGCAGGGTGAGGGACCAAGATGAACCAAGTAAACACTTGCATGGATCAACCAAAGTAAAACTCATGTAAGACTCATCAGTGCTTTTACCAAGCCTTGCGTAATTGGCCAATCAATGCAACTCATGTTCTCCGTGTCATGCTTGTGTTGGGGGGTTCCCGTTGACGCACTCATCCCAACCATCGCGCTTGGGGATGCTTGGGTGTCATATCTCTCGCTCTAAGCGGGGCAGTTACGTCACCGGTACGATCTGAGGTTCGTACACTTCCTAGCATGGCCATGACCCAGACACGGCACATGGGAATGGCATAATATATAGTATTATATACATTGGGGGTGGTTGATTTCAGGGGGTCAATGGTTTCAGAGTAGATGGCACTGGCATCCCTACATGTCCTTTAGATGTCCATATGTTCACCACCTCTTGGGTGATTGTGCCATCGAACCTCTGAAACCGCTGTAAATCCCATGCAAGTCCCATTCGATCGCCGTGTTTGGCTGTAGCATTTGGGCCGTACGGCCGTACGGCGACACGCTGTGTGGCACTCCACAGGACCTCCAGAAGGAGTTGGCACTCCTGGCAGCGGAGGCGGGGACACAAGCATCGCAAGGCATGCCTGGATGTAGACCTGTGTAGACTGAGCGCCTCCACGGGCGATGGAAAGATGGATCATGAAAGGGATCAACGAAGAAACACATGTAGAACGATGATGTGAATGAACTATGATGTGATCCCTTTCATGTAGAACGGATCATAGAAACACGATGTAGAACGAATTGAATGAACCATGATGTGAATGGTGGTGGCCTCACCGCCATGCTGGCATGTTCTGCTTCCAGACCGTGGCGCCGTGGTTGGTGACGGAAGGGTCCAAGTCTTTCCAACAGAAACACATGGAACCTGTTGCTCCAACACGGTCGCCTCATCCATCCCTCCCTGTCGCTCAGTCGTTTGGGGTCGTAAACTCTCTCCCTGTCGCTCCACCCGAGGTCTCAAGGGAGGCTGACGCCACCATCACTTTCGACCAACTCCAATCGAAGGAGGCCCAAGTCTTTGAAGCTCAAGCGCAGCGAGCCGCCTTGGCCACCCTGTGGTGTCATTTCTCAGAGAAGGCGCGAGAGAAGTTCCAGCCGGGCGCCTTCACCGTCCAGGCAGTGGAGGCCGAGAAGGTTTCAATTTGTGCGCTTTTGGGGCATTTCAAGGAGGCATGAGGCTCCAAAACAATAGTTTGACTCCTGGCCTTTCTGTAGTAGAATGTTCAATAACAACAGTTTGACTCCAAAATGCTCTACATGGGTTTGTTTATTTGATGTTTGACTTCTCGCGGCTACAGTATACATGCCCAGGGTCCGTCGTTGGGTCGTTCCTTCCACTCGCTGTTGGCCAGGACACCTCGCGTGAGCAGGCTGAGCAACTGGACTCGGCAGCCAGTGAGCTGCGGGCCACGTTGGCGCAGCAGTTGGAGAATGTGGAGACTTTGGAAGGTGGATCGGTGGATCGAATCAATGCCTGGGAACCCCCTTGGGATGCATGTTGGATGGACTTTGGGGTGTGCCAACTCCTCTCCAAGTCGAAGAGAACAAGCCTCAAGGGTGGAACGACTCGTGTGTCAGTCCGGCGTCAGTCAGTGCCACCCATTGATGATGCCATCATATTCTTAATATGTTCATATAGTTTTTCACCAACGACCAAAGTTGATTCGACGCAAGCACTTCCTGCAACAAAGCCATTGGAACAGCACCACTTGGACCTTAAGTGACCCGTCTTCTCCCAGTCTACGGCGCGGTGCCCAGTGGTTTCCCACCCCAGTCTGAGGCGCTGTGCAGGAGGAGGAGCACCTGGAGTTGCAACAGCTCCACGAGTTGCGAGCCTTAAAGGCCGAAAGCGCCACAGAGCAGAAGGTCCGCCTCCGCCGCGCGCTGGTGGTGCTGAAGAAGGAGCATGAAGTGTTGGAAGGCGGAGAAGGAAACTTGAAACATCTTGAAACAACGAGCATTGTGTGACTATAGGGGGCACTGTAGTCAGTATTGGACATATCACAAGGGCCGCTTAAACAGCCGGATTGGCCGGGCCAGCTAGAATGTTTGGTGCTGGAGTGGATGGCCCCTTTTCAGGCGAAAAGGCTCGAGTTTACCATGATGAGATTGCAACTCTCCGATTAGAGCTGGAGCAGATCGAGGAGTGCTACAGAGGATTGGTTCAAAAGCTGCAGGAGAACGGTAACATGTCCACATGTGTTGTTGTTTTCTTATGTCTTGTCGTTCTCTCTCCTTGGTTTTCGTAGTTTTGCTGACATATGCTTTGATGACTTTCGTTCTTCATCGCTTCAGGCCAATCATCATCGTTCACTGCTTTTTCATGGTGTTCACATGCTTACAGGGCTTACAGCATTCGCTTTAGGTGCTCCCAAACCACCACGAAGGGCCTCACCGCCCGACCCACTCCCTGCCAGGAATGCCACCGCGAGGAGGAGCTTCGCTCCGAGCGCTTGGCGGAACACTTCCAGCTGGGCCAACGACTGCTGAGCACCGCGGCCAGCCGCGCCAGTGAGGAGGACGTGGAGCTACCGAGCTCCAGCTGTGTGCAAAAAGGGGACGCGGCAGAGCAGCGAACCAGGTGGGATTCGACTCGGTGAGCTGCCCAAGGCGTGAGGATCCAGGTGTTGATGGATGTTGGTTTTCTTTGAGCCAAATTGGTTTGTTAAGCCAAGCCGTTCGACTTTCCATCTTCAAACGTTTGTCCATTCTATGTGCATGCCACCAAGTTCACGATTCGGGATATGTGACTTCAACTGCAAGATGTAGCCTCCAGAGTGAGAGTGTTTTTGTGTGGGTTGTCTTCCAAGCCCGCGAAGCCTGACCGGACTGGTTTGAACGTTCAGATGTTGAGCTCCTTGTGCAGAGCCAGGGTTTGCCTGGAATGTTGCCATGTGTGCACATGGACGGGGCTACTCAGGTGCGGTCAACAACTATGCCGACAAGTTCAATGTCCAGTGAGCTGCAGATCGAACGCAAACCACGGCTACTTTTGGCAGAACAAGTCTTGCAGAACCAGGAAAAATGAAGATTGATGGTGTTTTGGGCATCATAGCGGAGTTGACTAGGTTTTTTTTTCCATCCGCGCCGGCTGGTTGTTTTGGCCGGCATGATTGCAATCTTCTAGCTCAAGACAGAAACTGCTCGATGTAGCGTTTTTGGCGGTATTCAGCACGCAAACCTGACTGATCAGACTGGCATTTGCAGTTCGCACAAGTCCATGCAGCAAGAGCTTGGCCAGGTTTGCAGGTTTCAGTTTCATGTATGTGTGTGTGTGTGTGTCTGTGTTTGGTTACTGTATGTTTGTGTCACATCACGTCTTTGATAGGCCTTTCCAGATCAAGATTCATTGGTTGCTTTCAGCCTCCTTTCGCCTTGGAACTTCTTCAGCGTTTGAGGTACTGCGACTTGGAGGGCCTGCCAGACCTTTGCACTTCCTGCCCCAACGTGCAGAGGGCTGTGGGGCAGTACTTGACGACTCTCTTGCAGAGACTTGGAACTGTTGAACAGAGATTTGATACATTCCTTGAAACAATTATAGAAGTAGGAGTTCACCATCTGGTGCGCCTGCTTCACCAGCACCCAGTGCCCCCCACCACACTGACACACAACCCGGCACCGCTGGAGACTGCGTCGACCCTCAGCGTTTAGAGGGTTGGGCTCCACAGCCGCCAGCTTCTCCACCCTTTGCAGTTATAGGAAAACCGGTGGGATTCTAGACAAGGAAAACCGGCAGGAAGGAAGATCCACAGGAATCCGAAATGCAAGCTGTGTCACAAAGCTGTCAGAGTAGCTGTCAGATATCCTCAGCCGTGGGTGCTGCTCATGGGTAAGCAAAAGTACATGAACTTTGATCACCAAGTAATGTGTTGTTGTTGTTGTTGTTGTTGTGGTTGTGGTGGTGGTGGTGGTGGTGGTGGTGGTGGTGGTGGTGGTGGTGGTGTTGGTGTTGGTGTTGGTGTTGTTGCTGTTGTTGTTGTTGTTGTTGGTTGTTGTTGTTGTTGTTGTTGTTGTTGGTTGTTTTTGTTGTTGTTGTTGTTGTTGTTGTTGTTGTTGTTGTTGTTGTTGTT